AAAAAAAAATAGTCCTCTTATGCTGCAGTTACTTGGAAAATCATTATGATGTATTTGGAAGTGCATTGCAAAAGCTAATCTACTGCGTATTGTTGGGTTTGTCCCCAAGATTTCTATCTTGAGAAGGATATCTGACACTCAGTGTTGTAAGCAGAGAATAGGTATTTTAATATTAGAATTTTAGTTGATTTTTAATGCATATATATGAATGTGTGTATTACTTTTAGTAAACTTTAAAAGATTAAGGTTAATGACTGAATTAGTTTTGCATAACTGACTCTCGATATGATCGGAAGTATGTCACTGAAAACTGTTTCCGTAAGTCACAGAATCATAGATTCCTTAGATGAACCCTTGAAGAAACCACTCACCTACAGTCTTATTATTTACACTTTTCAGAACTAAAACCCTGATTAACTGCTTTACTCATTCCGCCCTTTACCTGTTGGGTGTTTTGAAGGCTTAGCATAAACCAGGAGCAGATGGTGCTCGGGAATTATGCAGCCTAAAGCAAGCGGTCATCATTTTTGCCTTGGGATTTATGCTCTGCTGTTGGAATGGGTGATATTCATTAATATTTATATGTAAATGTTAGAAGGCATGATGAAAAATATTTTCTCTGGACAAATATAAATCGAGGATAGATGATTGGGATTTGGGGATTTCAGTTTTGAATAGATTGGTCAGGGAAGGCCTATGTGAAAATACCATGTCCATCTAAAAATGTAGCAGGTGAGGGAACAATCAAGGGACACCAACTATAAAGGCCCCACGCTAAGAGCTATGAATACTGAAGGTCACTGTTCTTGGCTGAGAAATGAATGAGGGAACATTGTAGAAGATTATGTCAGTGATAGAATGGATTACAGTCTTGTGTGCCATTGTAACAAGTGCTTTTTACTAAAACTAATGAAAGAATGCAGGTGAGAATTGTTAGTGGTTTGAACCAGAGTGGTTACATTGGAAATGGGGTGAAGGATTGGGATTCTGAGTGATGTGCTCAGATTATAATAGTCCACACTCGTCCTTTTCCTCTGAAAGCTTTAGGTTGAAAGGGAAAGAAAAAAAAGTTAATCTTTTTGTTGTTTCTTTTGTGACTGGTAAACCTCTTTGTTGTTTCTCAATGATTAAACAGTTTGACCCTTTCTCAGGTGGACTAGAGCTAAATTGTTTCTTAAGCGTTCAGACAACCTAAGCTACCCTATAAATCAGTGAGAATAAGTTTGAGGGTTATGTCCCTTCCCCGTCTTCACCATTAAAAAAAAAGACCTTATAAGAAAATGGTCTTAAATAATAAGTCTCTCATCAACCGGGCTGAATCCCTTCTCCCGACCACTTGAAATAACCAACACTCTGTCTCTTCCCCAACACCCCAGCAGGGTCTTCTTCTCTTGCCATTTTTCTCAGCGTCTTAGGGAGGCTACTATGCAGGTCTGGCAGAATGTTAATTACGAAGATAGAAACTCAGTTCTCATTATCCAAGTATGGTCAGTTTTATAAGTCCTGCTGATTCTATCAATTCGTACTTTCTAATTGTTGGGGAGCCTTACACATTCATCATTTGAGCAAACTTAATTACTGTGTTGCTGAAACCTTCTGTATCCACCCATGATTTTTTAAACTTTTTCATTTAATCTTAAAGAAGCAGGGTGAAATGTCTCTGTATGATGGTGTAATTTCTGAATTCTCATGCTTATGTTGTTTGTGTTTGCATTAGATATTTGAAGCAATTTTGTTGGATGCATATAAACAAATTGGATCTGTTATTACTATATAGTAACCATCTTTAATATCTTTTGCCTTAAAGTCTATTTTGTCTGAAAACATGGAAACATATACTTTATGACCACTCCTGATGTAACTACCACAGCTCATTGATCTCTACTCTCTTCTGTGTTTATCAGCTCTCTACAACATTTGCTTTCCTCTCAATACATAGCTATTGCCCCATAGCTTAACATTTTAGTCATTCTCTTATTCTCTGGCTCCTCTAGTGAAATATCAGTCCTCAGTATTTATAATTAATTACCCAAATTCTGTATGCCTGTGCCCAAGAAATGGTTGCTGAAGAAAAGCATGTAGTCTGGCATGTTGGTTTCCCTATAGATATAGGATCACTAATCTCTGTTGATCAGGAATCCTTGGGTGCGAAAACGGTTAAGAACTTACCTACCTGCTCCCAGTTTGGTGGTTCAAATCCACCTGGAGGCCCTTAGAAGATAAATGTGATGACCCACTTTCAAGAAGGTCACCACCTTGAAAACCCTGTGGAGTTGTTCTGACCAGCACACTTGGGGTGGCCATGATCCCTAGTCGACTGCAAGGCAGTACACATCCTACAGTGGGCACTCCACACCTGCTTCTCTCCCAGCAACCAGCGGCTTCTTCGCAAAATGTGAAACATATCATCTGTTTTTCCTGCTTAAGACACTTTGGTGGGTATCCATTGCTTTTAAAAGAAAGTTCCTGCTGAAAAGTATGACCTGTAAGGTCTTTTAGCACTTGGCACCTGCTTCCCTACTCAGGCTCCTTAACTTTAGTGTCCACTGTATTTCCACTCTGCTGCACTTTTTAAAGAGCAAGCGTTCTTTGTGTACACTGTCATTTTGGGTGAGCATAATGTTACTAGTTTAAAAGATCTCAGGACTTCTAGATTACTGTCTCTCCCCTGCTGAAGAGTAAGCTCTAGAGAAAGACAAGGAACTGTGTGAACCTTGGCGTCCTAAACCTTTCACATTCTGCCTGGTTTAGAATAGTGGTTGGATGAATACAAATCTGGCTCGTGCCATAACATATCTGATGAAAGCACAAATGGAGACTATCATATTTCCCCTTTGTTAATAGCGGATGCTAACACAGGAATGTGTATTTCTGTTTTACTCTTTCAGCAAGATCTCTGTACCTTCCTGATATCGAGAGCCTGCAAAAATTCAACACTGGCCAATTATTTATACTGGTATGTGGAAATACATTTTGTTTTTTAATGACTTTCTATCCCATTGCCATCAAGTGCATTTATAGTGACACTGTGAGACAGAGTAGAACTAACTGCCTTACAGGGGCTTCAAGGCTACAGTCTTTGTGGAAGCAGACTGCCACACTTCTGCTGTGGATCGCCTGGTGGGACTGAGCCACCGACAGTTCACTTTGCAGTTGTGAAAAGTACTTTTCATGACTAGGATGTTTCCCCCTCTCAATCTGGACACATGGTTTTAAATAAGATGACAACAATCCATCAAGTTCCTCACGGCCCTCCTTTGGTGATGAATTCTGAAGCCTAGCCTCCACAGCAGCTGCTGTGGTTCCATTTTCAAGTGAGTTGACTGTGAACTTCATGAGACAGGATTTTTTTCTTTTTTTTTTTTGTTCGGATTTAATACATAATACATATATCATTCCATATTTCACCCACATCAAGTAGAATGGTTCAATTGTTACCACAACAGTTTTCCAAGCAATCTTTTCCTACATGGACTCTTGGACATCATCTTCCTTTTACTCCTCCCCCTCTGCCCTCCCCCTACCGCCACTGTACCCCTTCGCCCCTCCCCTTTATTCTACTTGCTGTCTGTATAGGCTTACCAATCCTGGGTTTCATATACCGAACAATGGAAAAGCATATAACACAGCTTCAAGAGGGGGCCCTCCACTGACATCACACCTCTGAGATACACTCTAATATGAACAAACAAAAGCTGAAGAAAACAATACAAATAAAAAATACAGAAACTTTTGGAAACCAGATCAGGCCCTGACTGCATTATAGGGGTGGGGTGGGGTGGGGGTGGGAGGTGAGGGGAATCTACTGACAAAGTTGTAACTGTTTAGGTCAGAATCATGCCTTTGATTTATGCCTTCTATATTCCTCTCTCCCAAGCACTCTGTTTAGTGACCATTTTCCTCCCAGCCCTCAATTTTAGATAGGGGGACTTCTTAGAGGCTTGTTTCCTATGTAGGTTCACAAATGAATCTTGGGCTCCCACTGTCGTCCATTGCTTTCTGCACACCAGATTCTCACAATTTAGTTTATGATACTAATCACTCCTTTGGCTTTGGATTATATGGATTCCAATCCTACACTGACTGACGATGGTGTGCTTCTTCCATGTGGAATTAGCTGATGTCTCACTTAGATGGCTGCTTGTTGGCAGACAATCCTTTAAGACTCCAACCTCTATTTTATCTGATAGCCGGGCACCATCTAAATTCTTTGCAATATTTTGCTATAGCACCTGTATCTTCTTTGTTCCCTTCCTGAGGGTGAGTATCCAGCAGGGCCATGGTGTAAGAAGTAATTTTTCTTAGGCGGGAGCTAGGATTCAGTGTAAGCCCAAAGAGGCAGGATTTATTTTATTGAACTAAAACTATTTTGGTTTTGTGCTATCAAGTCCAACTCATAGCGATCCCTTATGACAGTAGAACTGCCACATAAGGTTTCCTCTGCTGTGATTTGTGTGGGGAAGATCAGTCAGGGCGTTTCTCCTATGGAGCTTCTGGGTAGGTTCAAACAGCTAAACCTTAGCATTACTGGGCCTCTCTCAGTGCGCTCCATAGAGAGCCCTGTGCTGTTCTGTAGAGCACACAAAGGACTGTCATCATCGGTGGCCCTGTCAGAAGCATAGTCTACATTTGAGTAAAGAATTAACAGTAAACACTACTTTTAAAAGCATGTTGACATACTTGATGTTTAACCCGTAGGAATTATTTCTGATATAATTGTACTACTCTATTTACTACATTAATATAAAAGGTATAAAGTGATAGCCATTTTGACAAGCTCACTGCATTTGAGAAAACTTAGGCATTTTGCCCTTTTAGGAAGAGTTAAAATTAAAAATACTATTTTATTTTAAATAGAGTTTAGAGATTGTGTCCTGTTGGTTAAATTAAGCCATAACCTCATCCTCTTACCCTCAAAAAAGTAATATTCCTCTGGATACTGCCCTGTAGATAAGAAATAAGCAAAGCTTTAAAAAAATACAAAAACCCAGCTGTCTTTTATTTACATCAGGACCGTGTTTTGGTTCTGTTTATAACAAAGGAAAGCTGCTGTCACCAAATCACTGCAGTCATCTCAACCCCCTTAGGTACCACTGACTTTTCTTTCCTCCTTCACATTGGCCTCACTAGTGGAAAGAAAATAGTCCCTGCTTTCTCCGTAGCGGTTTAATGTAATATTCATAAAATGACATTTTCCTCACATTAAATGTCTGTATGTATTTGAAAATATAACCTCCGAGTGTTTTAGCTAGTTGTTAAACACCATTTGCCTCTGAGAAGTTTATTTAGAAATTCTCCCACAACCACATAGCTACTATTTCCTTTTAATGTAACCCATTGCTTCTTAATGTTCTCCATTATTCCGATCCGAATTTCTAAGTGTGGAGCTATTCACTGGTGTTATAGAAAAATATTATTCTCATGAAAATCTAAGTAAATAGTGAATAGGAAATAAAGAATAAATACATCTGTTGGGTACTTCACCAAGTTTTAAAATAATACTTGTGTGCTTCCTAGATATTTTAAGCTTAAGGTTTCATATTGTGGTTTGCCTTTTATTAAGAATTTCCTCATGGATATTTTTCCTTGCAGTATTTATGGAAAGTATTTGGACTCAGAATCTATCTTGAGCAATAAACACAATGGGAAAAATTATGGGTGAAACCCTGGGAATAAGAGGCTCAGAAGGCACATGGCGAGAGCCTTCGGGTGGCCGATGACTGAGATTGGCTCACTGGCAGGCCTGTGAAAGCGACACACCTCCGCGCAGCGCGGTGCCACCATCTTCAAGCAGTGCACCACTGTTCTCTACTCTGCTCAGAATCGAATGGGCAACAGATAGGTTGCTATGCAGCCTGTACACTGGTCTGGTTTTCTAGGAAGGATATTATGTTTCTAGCAGGGGTTCCACCCGTAATTTTCTCCTGTTGGTTTCTCCTTCCAGTCTCCCCAATTTTAAAAAGTTGATGTCTCTTCTGACTCCATTTCCTCAGTCATGACTGAAGCAGAAATGAATGTTTGTTTGGAGGCCCTCATATGAGGATAAGTCAAAAAGTATACATAGAAGCCCTCCTTAAATAGAATATCAAAATGTGAAGACATTGTATTGATTAGGCTTTATGTTAAATACACCCTAAAATAAGGTGACCAGATTTTAACATTGGTAAAGCGGGATAAAAGCGGGAAACCATTGATCAAACTCATATCCTGGTGAAAGAGCCACACGGCAGCCGAAAACTATATACCCTAGCTTGTCGTTTATTCTTTCCAAAAATCGGGACTTTTTTGAAATGCCACGGGACACAGGAAAAATTGGTAAAAACTGGGACTGTCCTGCCAAAAGCGGGACATCTGGTCACCTTAAAAGACCAAGACAATGTATTCCAGAGCCATCTAGTGACTTCAGAGACATGTTTAAGCAGGTTACATTTGTAACAAACTCCTGCTGCTACCACTGAAGCCCTGCTAGCAATACTCTTTCACTTACCCTCATATATGTGCTATGTGGTGCTTTGGTGTGGTCTGTTCTTTGGGTTTAACTGTAGACAGAATGGCATTGTAAGCCTTAATAGAATAGAATCTTTCCTCTCCTATTTAAAGTAGGAATTGTTTTCAAATCATTCGGAAAGCGGCTGAACCAGTAGGAAGCCTATTAGCTGAACAGTTTCCAACCAGCCCACAGTTGCTGTTCATGGGGAGTGCTTTGTTTTCTCCATGGATAACAAGTGCAGCCCCAGTCTTATAACCATTCCTTCAAACTTAAATTTGATTGGTGTTTCCCCACTATAGCTCTGATTCGCTGAGGCAATAGCATATGCTGTCTATTCATCCTCTGAGGAGTAATTGTTGTTGCCATATTTACAGTATGTATATTACATATTCAGAAATAGTCTTGGGGGAAAAAAGCTACTGATGTGGACTGCTGACTCTGGTAGACAACCAGATGTCAGGGTAATAATATGGGAAATAATTTTCAAAGAGCTGGTTAAAAAATGATAAGTTTATTTATTTTAATCATGGACACAACAGTTTAAAATACTAATCAAGTATAAGTATTCGTGTCTCTTACCCCAAACTTTCTCTTTTATAGTGTAAAAATTTCCATATATACTCTAATATAAGCCACCCGAGTATCAGCTGAGGCACCTAATTTTACCACAAAAACTGCATTAAAAATGTGCTGAAAAACTCGGCATGTACACTTGTATATACAGTAAGACAAAATCTTAATTGATCTATTATTTCCTTTTGAATATTTTGAATTTCTTCTAAATTTGTTATTCCCTTTGCAGTAATTTAAATGGGATTCTTGCTGTAGCTGAATCTTTGGGGGCCTATAATTGTACAGAGAATCATTTTAAGATGAATATTGTCAACCTTTTAAGCCACAGAGGGAAGTTACAGTCTCCAATCTGTAAGGTGTTGGGCGTCAGAATCTATAAACCGTTCCAGGTTTTTATTTTTTATAGCCATTCCAGCATGTTGAAATTGAGGGCAAGCTTTCAATTCCTTGACATGCTTTCTGTAACTTTTAAGACCTTTCAAGGTAATAAAGGTTATTTACCCACAAAATGAAATTACCAGGCAACAAGTAGTCCACCGATATTACCTTGCAACGGATAACCCAGACACTACCCTCTCATGTCTGCTTGGAGACGACGGGCTGTAAGGAGTACCTTTAGAGTGCTTTGCCAAAATTCAGCTCGTTCTTGTGAACGGAGAATGCAAAAGTGATTTCATTCCAGATCCACTCTCTACCTAATCTTTTCCTTCAAGTTTGGAGATGACTCTTTAAAAAAGTCCCTTTTTGCAGTAAACCTTTGTTCTGAATGATTTTGAGAAATCCGTGTTCAGTATGTGACCCATGCCGTTAGCATCAACCTTTCTATATCAGTTACAGGAAATAGCCATGTCTCGTTTCCCTTGTGCTCAAGAAGATAGAACATAGCAAGTGTAGTTTCAATTTCGAAATTTGCTTTCTGTATGGGAAAAAATACCTAACAACCCCAATGACAAAACCGAAAAACCAAATTTGTTGCCGCTGAGTCAGTGCCGACTCCTGGAGACCTTGTGTCAGTGACCGGAAATGGTTTACTGGAGTAGAAAACCCAGTCTTGCTCCTTTGGAGCTGGTGGTTTTGAACTGCCCACCATGAAGGATTGCAGCCCAACACATAACCACTGTACCATCAGGGCTTCGCACCATGGTGACAGAGAAAATAAACCATTCTCAATTAAAAGGCCGGATCATGTGAATTGGGTTTTGGTAAGATCATATTTGCAGTTTTATAGTAAAGAACCAGTGCTTGTCATTCCTAGAACCCCATGAAGAGGAACAGAGTTGTCCAACAGAACTGTTTACAGGATGAAACTCTTCTTCTTGTCATACTACTTAGCATTTGGAATGTAATAGTGTGATGGAGGAGCTGATTGAAATGTAAATCTCAATTTGCATCTAATGTCTTTGGAGCCTCATGGCTACTTATATTAGACAGCACAATTTTAGAAGGTATTCTTTCCTCAATAATACATTTTCTACTTAGGATCCTTGAGAAAATGATGTAACCCAAAGCTACCTGAATAGAAGAGAGAAAGGGAGAGGTGAGGCTCTGGCTCTGGCCCCTAGGACATCTATTGTTATCACGAACATTTCACTGAGAAGTAGGTGCGGAAGGCTTTTGTCAGTCTTTAGCAACTTCTGTGTGTAGGAGCGTAGGGTATATGGGGATACTAAACCTTTTTCTAAGATAAGGACCCTGGCATCAGTTCCCTTATAACCTATTAATGGACCTGAGACTTAAGCTTATGAAAAGTTAATAAGGAACGTAACATAAATACTAAGTGTGAGAGGCTATGCCTTTTCTAAGAAACGAGAGAAGTAATCATTATTAGCATGTAAAAAGGTATCTACCATCCTATATAAATACATTTTTAATTTAATATATTTATATAGGGGAAATAGATCTACGTGCATATATTTATAGGTTTAGTATTAAGGCAGCAGATGGACATTGGACCTCCACTCAAGTACTTACTCAATGCAATAACACGTTCTATTAAATTGGCATTCCATG